TGTTCCACCTGAAGACGGAGGCTTGTGTTGCTTCCGAAACGTCGTGATTTTAATTTTATTTTTTATTAATTTTAAATTTTTACCTACGTGACTTTACCGAAAAAACCTAACAATATGAATCCTTGCAGTCACGAAAGCTTCAAATCTAGGGGGGGGGGGGGGGGGCGCTTTTCATCTCCCACCGGTATCACCCACGGGTGGTTGTGCCGCACCTGCCGTGCGATGTTTGGATGCGGTTCAAAGCGGACCGCGTGCTCCTTGGTAAGGGTCCCGTCCCAGCGGGGACACGCTCTGCCGTGGGAGCAGTGATGAAGCTCAGCAATAGGAGGATGGAAATCCAGCAACATTCCTTTCACATCGTCCAGTCAGCGCGTTGACACGTTTGACCCCGCAACGACTTGATTGCGTATGTTTGAGAATAGGTTTTCCCCTTTTTTCTGGCAACAAAACAGGTGGTAAGATGTTAAAACACCAAACTGAAACCTTGTATAAGGAATCATGTCTGTATTAACCACAATACTTGTGGTCAGAATGCAAACAAAAACGTACTCTGATCATATATGCATTGTCTTTGAAACTGATTGGTTCACACCAGAGACAGCTTTCTTTTGAGCCTCGTCTCAAAACGGTGTTAGACCAGAGCCTAGTCTCAAAACGGTGTTAGTACGTAGCCAAACGTACTAATCGGAGGTGCGGGGGAAGGACAACAAACTAAACACAAAAATAAGTTCTAAATAAAAGAGTTTTCAATCTAGTAAAGTGGTGTAGTGTATAGTGTACTGTATAGTATTTCAGTATATAGTGATGTATGCTTAACTTCTTTTGCACCGTACGTATCCAACCGTGTGAATTGGAGGTGCTGGCTAAGACAACTAATCACAAAAGGCAGTTCTAAAGAAACGAGTTTCCAATCCAAATGGTTTAACAGTACATAGAGCGTTCCAGATGGCCGCAGAAGTGCATCTGAAAGCGCGCATTGACCGTTTGTTTGATGGCCAGCCAAAAGCTGCTTCTGCTGCGAGGATGACCGGAGTTCGCGTGATGGTTTATGCTCCTTGACCAGGTCAGCAAGGTACCAAAACGTGCGGACGAAACAGCGCAACAAGTAGAGAATGGAGTCTGAAAACACGCGCGCGTGTTGGGCGCACACACACGCACACACGTGGACAAACACGGCCACTGTTGGGATGAAAATGTCCCAGAGCAATGGTGGAGGGAGTGTCGACGATTTTAAATTGTGTACTGTACAGCCCCTGACGAGATTCTAGAAGCTCGCTCTGCACTCTTAACTTTTCGTAGTTCTCAGGCCAAGTTATCTCGTGAGCGTTTAAATCTATTTCTCTGGAAGAGTTGGAATAAAAATGGGCCCGAATTGCATGTTGCTATTTGCTGGTAACCACCCAGATAAATGTGTCGCTTTTGTAACGTCTAAGAAAGTGCTAAAATAAATAATACTGTAACCTTCGATGAACACTGTTTGCTTTGTACGATGCGAAAGAAGATCAACATACATAGGTAGTAACGTTTATTGTTGTACCAATTTCACTTAAGCTGTTTCAAAATGAATAAGTAATCTCAAGAGGATTTATCTCATTTATCATCATCAATCATGAGCTGCCATGATCTATCGACTGCTGGATGAAGGCCTTCCCCATGGCGCTCCGCAATCTCTCACGGTTCCACGATTTATAAATCCTGCGAACTTTCGCGCATGAGGATTTGCATGCAGATCAGCTCGCCTGCGCCGGACCTATAGATATTATCATCGCATGGCAGAGCTGTGAGAGATGACGACAGCTTGGGGAAACCTTAATTCAGTGGTGGAGAGATCACGGACGATTACGATGATTGATGCCTTGTGGGCGTATGCCATGATTTCAAGTAAAAGGTTTAAAAGTCAAAGCGTCTCCCTTCTTAAGCGAGAGATTCACAGCCACGAGTCTGACTGCACTTTCCCACGCGCCCTGCTTGCTACAGATATATTCACAGCATCACAGTCGACACGAGCGTGTTGTTTTAACCCCGACCGCTGGAATTCCTTCCAAATTAAGTGAAAGACCAAATTTAAACTAAGCTATTTAAAACTAAACTATTTTTTTATTTAACCAGGTAAGGCCCACTGAGCTATATAGCTCTTTTTCAGAAGCGACCTGGTCACAATTGATATCTCAACGAAGTGGCTTATCATGTGGAAATTTCTAGCAGACAAATACTCGAAACGCATGTTGATTCCAAATGTGGAGGAACAAAACCGGAAGACCTGGAGAAAAATCCACGCGACCACGAGGATAGACACACGCAAACTCCAAATATACAGCAGGCATCAGGGTTGTGATCGAACCAACGACCTCAAGGACACCAAGCTGGGGAGATAACATCTCCTAGCCACCGTGGCGCCCTAGTATATGGGATATCAGTTTTGTGTGTGTGTGCGGTCAAAACGGGGTTGTCTTGTGTGTGCGCCCAGGTTGAAACCATGAACTCGTTACATTTGTAATAAAAGACTCCGTCAGGCGATGCTGGTCTCCGTTTGTCTTTTATTCAGGTTCTTTTCCGCACCCCCACTGGCCTCCTCTCGGACCAGTGTCGTCTCACGCGCGCCCCGCGCACGCTCCCTCTCGCGTGCCACGCACGCTCTCTCTCTCTCGCGTGCTACGCACGCTCTCTCTCGCGTGCCCCGCACGCTCCTCCGTTAGCTCCTCTATTCCCGCACTCCGCACTCCGCAGGCCGACGGCGTGCTGAGGTCCTTCATCCATGTGGCCGATGGCGCAGATCTTTCCTCACCACCCAACGTGGCTCAGCCTCTTAACTTCCCCGACTGCCCCGATCTCTTCCGGGCTCCCACTTATATACATTCCCACCACGTGACCCTGACTCCTCCCCTTCCGGATCGTTAGATCCGGCCTTCCCATACTACCCCGCTGGCTCCGCCCCCATTCACCTCGTCTCCCATTGGAGCCGAGGTGAACGGTGGCCTCTCCCACACACCCCGCAGACCAGGCTCCGCCCCCCAATGCCCCGGGCCGCGTGATTGGACTCGAGGCCAGCAACAACCCCATTTTCGCTCGCATTACACATTTAAGGATCACCCTATTTAATCATGGGCAGATGCGCCCAGATTCAAAGCCACAATTCCAGCAGTGCCAGCCCAGGACTGCTCTAAGTTCTGAGCCACCCTGACATCTCCTTACCGTTTGATTACTTTTCCTATACTTTTCACTCCTATCACGTTTTCGAATTGTTTGTTGTTGTAAATTTCTGACCCGCCCCGACTGGACATATGTAAAAAAGAGCTTCACAGATCATCGGATTCCTCCAGTCTTAATAAATATTCTAATTCTAAATTCCCTACCTAGTACAGTACTCAACTTCACAACTGCATCACACGCATTCAGATGCGCTTCTGCGACCGTCTGGAATGCTCTTTCCTTCCGATATTATGAAGCCAGCAGAGCTATGCACTTTTGAATAAACTAGGTTTAAAATTAATTTGAAAACTTAAAATGACCTCTAAAAAACGTTCTTTGCATATTCATTACTGCTTGAAATAAACCTTACTTTTAAAAAGTTTGAGAATTAAATGTAGGTCACAAGGTACGTGAACCGCCTTGTAGACTGAAAACTCATTTTTGTAGAACTGATATTTTTTGTTTAGTTTGATGTGGATTTTCTGTTTGCACTTAGTCACATATTCACTTTAAGATGTTTTCTTGTTCATGTTTTTGTTTTTTGTTTGTTGCGGTTGCACCCGATTCAAGAGCCGAATGGCTCACATGGCTATACCTAATAGATTAGCACGGTTGTTTACGTACGGTGCGAAAAGAAGTTCAATGTACACACATACATACGTAAACTCTCCGATTGCGAGTGGCGAATTATAACCACTGTGTCACTCGGCCAGAGCAGTGGCGATGCTAAGGCACAACGCAAACTAAATAAAAGCGTAGAGTCCCTATCAGCTCAAGGGGCCGCAGAATTAATGACCCTTCCCTCCCCCCAAAAAATAAAACGAGCACACGCAGTGCTTTATACAGCTTCACGAAACATCAGCTCCAATTCAGATCCTCGTAAATGTAACAACCAATTTATCTCTCGTCTGTATCTCTCTCCTGGCATCTCGCTACGAGGGGAGGGAGGGGGGCAATATACGTTTGACTTCGGAGTATCCAATGGGCCAGCACTATACCACTGAGCCAACATAACCACACGTTCAAGTGCGTTTATTAGGTATAGCCCTGTGAGCCATTCGGCTCTTGAATCAGGTGCAACCGCAACAAACAAAAACATGAACAAAAAACATCTTAAAGTGAATATGTGACTAAGTGCAAACAGAAAATCCAAGAAAAGACAGCAAAATATTGCAGAAAAAATCACCGTACACCAACGCTGTGTGCAAAAATCCCAGTGGGATACAAAGCCAGCACGACCATGGAATTACCACTAAGCAAAGCACTATCACTGAGACAACATTACCACTGATTCAGCACGACCACTGAACCAGCATTGAGCCAGCACTATCACCGAGACATTACCACTGAGCCAGAACTACTAACTGACCCACCACTGCCACTGTGCCAGCATCACCACCCATCCAGCATTGGATCGCGAGTTGTTGACCTTAACCCAGGCGTGCCAGCTGGCCTTAAAGGGTCCGCGTCTCGGATCTTCACTAAAAGCGCCTTAATGTGGTGGGGGGGGGGGGGCTCTGCGCTCTGAGTACGAGGGGGGTCGGTGTGGGAGGGGGTCAGTGGCGGCCTGGGGGGGGGTGGTGTGAGTCAGGGCGACGCCCATCTCTCCACTGCGGACCGAGCGTCCGTTTGGGTGGAACCGGACGGAATGGGCGGGCGTGGTTGGGGGGGGGGGTCTGTGGGTGAATGGGGGGGGGGCTGTTGACGCCCCCCCCGCCCCCATTCCCACCTCCCTCGGCATCACTCCGCTGGACGAATCCTCTCCCCACCCCAATCCCCCCGCTAGCCGCTCACTCACGCGAGCTCGCTCCGTGCTCTTCTGCGCCACTGGTACGCTCCCTTGACAGCTGCTGCGCGCTGGGCGATGTTCGTCGTCTCGACCCGAGTAGACTTCTCACTTTACTCTGAGTGCCTTTTTGCATCTTCGCTCAAATATCCACGGTCGGGCTACGTGCGGTGCGAAAGAAGTTCAACGTGCGTTACATATATATGTAAGGTGCAGGCGGACATCGGTCAACATGCCCAACGGCGTCGTCGTCCTCGAGTGTTCGAGGGCCCTGCTGATGTTCTGCCTCTTGCACGTCCACCACTGCCGCTTCTACTGCTGCAGAAGTCGCTCCCAACTGTGAGTTGCCGGTCGAGACGCGCATCCCACAATCCCACACCGCATGTGCGCTGACAATGACAAGACTAAGACCCCCTCGTGTGCTTAGTAAGTAGCCTTCGCAGACTTTTAGCGAGCGACTGTGGTGAAGACCGGCACGGCACACGAGTTGGGGGGTTGGGGGGGGGGCGGGGCAGCACCACGTCCAGCTGCCTTGTTCATACACAGCACCAGAAACTCATTTAAGACTGAGTCGACTTAGGGGAGGCCTGGGACCGGTTCAGAAGATCGTAATCGATGTTGGTGGTCGTGGTTTCTTGTTGAAAATGTGGGTGGTACTCATCTGACTATAACATAGAAGTGGTGGTGGAAATGCCATGTTCCTTTGGCGGGGGCGAGTGTAGTCACATGAGCGATCACATACCGATTTCCTACAAAATGGTACTCGATTATCGACCCTGGAGAGATGATGGGCTCATTTGATCCTCAAATGGGATTTGAACTTGTAAACTTCCAAATGTTTGCTGTACGCTTCTCTGTCACGCAGCCACATAAATGAATACGTCGGTGTACAACGTACAGTGAGGACTTCCCTTATTAAAATGCAAATCAATTTAAAACATTTTTGACATGCGTTTTTCTGGATGTTTTTGTTGTTAGTCTGTTTCTCATTGTTCAAATAAACCTACCATTAAAATTATAGACTGATCATTTCTTTGTCAGTGGGCAAACATACAAAATCGGCAGGGGATCAAATACTTTTTTCCCTCACTGTACATGACAGCATACAATATCCATGCAGTATAGTAAACTCATCTCAAGCTGCCCGTGAATCACGTGGCTTCCGTGTGGCCACCCCCACTCTGAGCCCCTCCCCTCTCGCACCCGCCCGCTGTGAACACAGACGCCGCTCCGTGCAGCAGCAGCGTGGACGTGCCCTGCTGTAGCCTCCTCCCTCATCTTCACCTCTCCCCGACCCCTTAGCTCCCATCTCTCGGCTCTTTCTCCATCATCGGCCTCTCGTTTATCATCCTTTCTCTTCTGTCTTCTCTCTTTACTTTTGATTTTCCCATTGTATCCTTGACTCAACTCCCCATCTCGTGGTGTGCCATGGATACAACAAAAAACACAGTTGCTTGTGATGTTCGAAACATATTTGCCGGAACTGCCGTATCCAATTGATTCATCGCGGCCACGTGGCAGAGCAGTAAAGCGAGCGGCTCATCAATCGGAAAGTTGTGATTTCAATTCCTGGTTGGGGGCTGATTAAGTCCCATCATCCTATCGGGGGTAATTAAAATCACTACCACGCTATAGCGAAGTTAACAGTGGTTGTGCTTTGGATCGATTCGCACCCCACCCCTCCCTATAGAAATGTTAAATTTCCACCACTCGCCCGGGGCGGTAAACGGGAGATGATCCCCAATCAACAAATCACTTTTGAGTTGAGAGAACATATTGGTGTAAGTTCCATGAATCTGCGTTACCCTGACAAGGCCAAGTACGTTCTAACATTACACCACTTTTAGAACCTGCAAGTAGTCAGAAATCAGAGACGGATTACATTTCAAAGGTCGCCTTCCCAGCACATGACTGTGCATCACGGTCAAGTGGATGTATTTTTGCAAATGTTACAAGTCTATTCCCACTGAGGCCCCAACAGTTCCTCTCCCCGGCAGAGACGGCTGGATGCGTGTGTGCTTGTGCGCGAGAAGAGGCGATGATTCAACCCTTGCTAAGAAACTCCAGACGCGTGTTCGTCCTCATGGGATTTGCCCCAGAGCTCAAATTCACTTCCTCTCTGGGAGTATGGGTTTTGCTACGCAATGCAACCACAATACACATATTTACAGTAGTTTTGCAATTTTGATAGTTATAAGTCGAAAGTCAGATGGATTTCTTGCTCCAGTGAGTGTCGAGGTAGTGCTCATATATTTACAGCATCGAGCCAGTGGTGGGAATTCTACATTCATATGATGGGGATGAGTCTATCAATAAGAGAGCCACTGTTGACAACCAATAGCAGGGCGTCATTTTAATAACCAATAGCAGGGCTTCATTTTAATAACCAATAGCAGGGCTTCATTTTAATAACCAATAGCAGGGCTTCATTTTAATAACCAATAGCAGGGCTTCATTTTATTGACTAATAGCAGTACATCATTTCATTAAAATAGCATGACGTCATTTCATTAACTAGCAACAGGGCTTAATTTCATCACCTAATAGCAGGGCTTCATTTCACTAACTAATAGCAGGGCTTCATTTCATTAACTAACAACAGAGCTTCATGTCATCAACATTTCGCAGGGGTAAATTCCATTAACTAATAGCAGAACTTAATGTAATTAACTACCAGGGTGTAAATGTATTAACTAACAACAGGACTTCATTTCGTATTCACTAATAGCAGGGATACATTTCATTAACGAACAGCAGGCCTTGATTTCATAAACTAACAACATTTTAGTTGGCTATGCCCAGCTCGGCAAATCAGAAAATATCTCTGCCAAACCTTGCACACCACAAATCGAGATCGGTGAATGAAACTGCGATTTGGAGTGTCACCTGTTCGCATTGGCAGCTGTTGTCTCCTGCATTCACCCAAGCTGATGACACCTTAATTTCCCCCTTTCAACATTGTCTGCTTGGAATCTTTTGAAAAAAAAGAAAATACAGTAGATCATCGATTATTCGGGGAGAGGGGTTTGGGGGGATGATCAAACACGCCGGATAATCACTAATTATAATTTTAAAAACTTTATTTTTGCACATTCTTGTATGACGTTTTTTTAGGTGTTGTTATATGTGTTTTAAATTAGTTTCCTATGCGAAATTGGCATAAATAAACATCCTAACAGTAAAAAGTCACTGTATTTTACTGTGCCGTACCACTCCAATCTCGAAGACTGCATCACGGGGTGATGTATGTACGTGCAGTATTTTCATTGTTTAAATTGTACGTAGTGTACAGTGCAGCGTTTAATAATATTTGACACTGAAATCAAGCAGAGCTACTTTTTTTTTCCACGCACGTGGTGCCGATTCGACTGGATCGGTTACAGCCTTTGGAGTGGTTTCGCTGGATCGACACAGGGCCGCCTGATAATGTTGGAAGCAGCATGATAATTGTCGATGACCAATGAATCGGTACACATTGAACTAACTGTAGTAATAAATTACGATATTTTACGGCGCTTTTGCAATCCACTTCTAGATGAAGGCATCAACCCTGTCATGTCGGTCATGGAGGTTGTTTGACCATACTTCACCACTCTGGGTGAAGGGTGGTTGGAGGGAGGGTGGCACCCAGGAACGGTTCATTGATTTATAAATTCAGATCACCGCCACTGATGTTAGCCGTGGCCGTTATTCGAACTCGGGTCACCGAGGTCATGGTGCATAGCACTAACCAGTGCACCGCCAATATTGTTATAAACTAACCCATTATAAGGCACGTGAGAGGTGTATTAATGTAGAAGAATTTGTGAAAACAATCAAATGAGTGGACACTGCAGAGACGACACGAGCAAAGCATTTTGGGAAAGATAGGACGTGGCGAAATTAAATGGGAGACATTTTCAAAAAGCATATTAAAGTACCGTGGTTCTGTAAGAGTATCATTATTATAGTTTCCCGCACCTCCGATTAGCACGGTGGGCTACGTACGGTGCGCAAGAAGTTCAACACAAACACATACGGTAAAAGCCAGTATTGTACTATTATTATATAATACACACACACACAACAATGGCTTGACCCACATATCCATCAAATCGCAGTGTACCTCGTGGAAACGCCGCGTTGCTTCGTGGAGGCCTGTGCCTGTTTCCGTGCAATGTTATGGGGAGGAAATTGGCGAGGGACGTTGTCACGGGAGACGGAGCTATTTTTCCCCTCCTCGCGAGGTCAAACAGAGGAAAGCGCCACGGTTATTTTGACAGCGGCTTGGCGATGAGGTTGCCACCCGTCCTGGGTTTTTTTTCCTTCCTTTAGGCATTCGCCTTCACTTTGAAGGTGGCTATCCCCGCAGGGAAATTTTTTGGGACGTTAAGAAAATCTAGATTTTTTTTTAAATCAGTGGCACCCTCCAGCCCATGCATCTATTGGAAGTTGACAGAGCCCACGGATTTGTGTACCTCCGAGGTGGCATCCCTTCCTGGGTTAGCCCCAAAATAATTTTGGAACAATGGAATAACGTAATCTCCATCGGATATGCATTTCTGGGTTCCATTCGTGCGTCGTCGGAAAGTAGGTTATGTAGACTTTCAAGCAGGAATTAGGAGCAATTTGGCTTTTGTATGCCTGGAATTCGTTATTAAGCACTGATTCTTATTGGAGAGATCACAGACAAGCCAGTGGGGGGCAGGATGCGTCCACGACTCGAAGGGACGAAAACTCGGAGGTCGAGACTCACGGCGGAGTGGTGGCCCAAGGAGGGAACTCGTCCGAGAAGACGTCCTCCGTGGAGACGGAGCGGCGAAATCGGCTCCGGTGCTAGATCCGGAATAGTTGCATCGCATGGCCCGGGCGCATTGCGAAGGCTTGGGTGAGGCTTTCATCCACCCAGCTTAAATATACGCTGCCAAGCTTGGCGGTGTTCATTCAGACGCTGTCTTTCCGACAGACCTGGTCTTCACCTGAGGACGGCTGCTTGCGTTGTGGCCGAAACGTCGTGAGAATTGTATTTTATAATGTTATATTTTTATTATTTTATTATTTCCCTTCTACGTGACTTTACCGAAAGAACCAAGAAGAAGAAAGATCATTGGTTGTCGATAATTGAGATGATGTATCACGGTATTTAGATTGTAGCCATGTGTGGGATTAATCTCACTGCCAAGTTACGCATCAAAGCCCTGCCCAGGCTGCTTGCAATGATGATTCAAACTCACGAGGGCGGACGTGTGTGGCCGGGGATATGCACAGCCAGATGTGTGTTTTAAAAATGTCGCGTTTACCAATGTGATACCGATTGTGATTTAAAAAAAAATCTCATTTATGTTTATAAGAGCGCCTTCACTCATGTCGCTTGGCGTAGTTTACGGGGCGATGACATGATGGAATGATGTCCGAATCAGAATACGGTATTGATTAATGCTGGAGGAATCCGATGAGCTATGAAGCTCTTTCTTCACAGATGTCCTGTCGGGGCACGGGGTAAGGACGTTACAACAACAGGGGCACGCACGATGCGAGGGATTGAGGAATTTGTTGACAGCGATCGAGAGTGACACAGCAGGGTAGGGGAGGAACGGCACTCAGGTTCCGTAGCGCACTGCGCTCAAACAACTACACTACCGCCACCCAGAGGTCGCAAACGGGTTTTGATTCCTTACCCGTACCCGGCCGCACCAGGGTCGAAAACGGGTACCCGTACCCTACCCGATACCTGGCTACCCGTACCCGGCCGGGTATCGGGTAGGGTACGGGTATCGGGTACCCGATTGCGACCAGTGGGATGAAGCCATGTTGCAGGCGCGGGTGGGTTGATTCTAGGAACTTGAATTGTGAGAATAATCAAGACGTTGGGAAATGAGTGACAAACGGTGACTCACCAGTGACTCACGGCCTACCCGTACCCGGCCGCACCAGGGTCGCAAACGGGTATCGGGTAGGGTGCGGGTATCGGGTACCCGGTTGCGACCTCTGCCGCCACCCCTCATTGTGTCCGCGCACACACAAGGGGGCAGCACTTAAATGCGAGTGGACTTTTGCTGTGTCCGTGAGACCTCTCAAGAAGAGGGCCCTCGCTTGGATGATGTTGCCCCGGCGGAGGCCACGCTGCCATATATAATCGATAGCAAAGGATTGGTTCCGTAACTTTGCGTGCAACTGTTAGTGTAACTGTTAGTGCAACTATTAGTGTAACTGTTAGTGTAACTGTTAGTGTAACTATTAGTGTAGCTGTTAGTGTAACTGTTAGTGTAACTATTAGTGTAGCTGTTAGTGTAACTATTAGTGTAACTATTAGTGTAGCTGTTAGTGTAACTGTTAGTGTAGCTGTTAGTGTAACTGTTAGTGTAACTATTAGTGTAGCTGTTAGTGTAACTGTTAGTGTAACTATTAGTGTAACTGTTAGTGTAACTGTTAGTGTAACTATTAGTGTAACTGTTAGTGTAACTATTAGTGTAGCTGTTAGTGTAACTGTTAGTGTAACTATTAGTGTAGCTGTTAGTGTAACTATTAGTGTAGCTGTTAGTGTAGCTGTTAGTGTAGCTGTTAGTGTAACTATTAGTGTAGCTGTTAGTGTAACTGTTAGTGTAGCTGTTAGTGTAGCTGTTAGTGTAGCTGTTAGTGTAGCTGTTAGTGTAACTATTAGTGTAGCTGTTAGTGTAGCTGTTAGTGTAGCTGTTAGTGTAACTATTAGTGTAACTGTTAGTGTAGCTGTTAGTGTAACTGTTAGTGTAACTGTTACTGTAGCTGTTAGTGTAACTATTAGTGTAACTGTTAGTGTAGCTGTTAGTGTAACTGTTAGTGTAACTATTAGTGTAGCTGTTAGTGTTGCTGTTAGTGTAGCTGTTAGTGTAACTATTAGTGTAGCTGTTAGTGTAACTATTAGTGTAACTATTAGTGTAGCTGTTAGTGCAACTGTTAGTGTAGCTGTTAGTGTAGCTGTTAGTGTAACTATTAGTGTAGCTGTTAGTGTAACTATTAGTGTAACTATTAGTGTAGCTGTTAGTGTAACTATTAGTGTAACTGTTAGTGTAACTGTTAGTGTAACTATTAGTGTAGCTGTTAGTGCAACTGTTAGTGTAGCTGTTAGTGTAGCTGTTAGTGTAACTATTAGTGTAACTGTTAGTGTAACTGTTAGTGTAACTATTAGTGTAACTATTAGTGTAGCTGTTAGTGTAGCTGTTAGTGTAACTATTAGTGTAACTATTAGTGTAGCTGTTAGTGTAACTATTAGTGTAACTATTAGTGTAGCTGTTAGTGTAGCTGTTAGTGTAACTATTAGTGTAACTGTTAGTGTAGCTGTTAGTGTAGCTGTTAGTGTAACTGTTAGTGTAACTATTAGTGTAGCTGTTAGTGTAACTATTAGTGTAACTGTTAGTGTAGCGATCAGTGTAACAATTCATACGCCAATTTCAAATATGGTCATCAGAATTTTTTTTAATTCTCATCAAAAGCCCGTGGTGTAATCAAGTGCAAGTAGCTAACTCTTATCGTCCACTCTATCTCTCCAGCCTCTTTATTCATGTGCTAGAAAGAAGGGCCATTGCCTGGAACGTCGTCTGTTATATTTTGGTTTTCTTTTAAGACCACACAGTGCTGTTAACGGGTGTGCTGAGTGGTTTGGTTAGCTGTGCTTATGCACCACTGCCAACGCAGCAGCAGCAACATCATCATCAAATAATTTGTAGAACGAAGACCTTCCCCATGCCGTACCGATCGTGGGTGTTGTATGTCCATGCTTGATCACCACGTTGTCTCTGCTCCTGGTTTTCCCACGATTCTTCCTCTCGTCGTGAAGACACGGTACACACACAGTACACATAGTACACACATAGTACACACACACAGTACACACAGTACACACACACAGTACACACACACATTACATACACAGTACACATAGTACACATAGTATACACACAGTAGACACACATAGTACACACATAGTACACACGGTACACACACAGTACACATAGTACACACACAGTACACACACAGTACACACACAGTACACATACATAGTACACACACAGTACACACACACAGTACACACACAGTACACACAGTACACACACAGTACACATACATAGTACACACACAGTACACACACATAGTTTACACACAGTACACACACATAGTACACAGAGTACACACACAGTACACACGGTACACACACAGCATACATACATAGTATAGACTCACTACATACACATAGTACATACACACAGTACACACACAGTATACACACACTACATACACAGTACACACAGTACATAGTACACACACAGTACACACACAGTACACACGGTACACGCACACAGTATACATACATAGTATAGACTCACTACATACACAGTAGTACACACACATAGTACACACACAGTATACACACACTACATACACAGTACACACACAGTACACATAGTTTACACACAGTACATACACAGTACACACACAGGACACATAGTACACACACAGTACATAGTACACACACACAGTACACATAGCACACACAATGTCGTCCAGAGGTCGCAACCGGGTACCCGATACCCGTACCCTACCCGATACCCGGCTACCCGTAACCGACCGGGTACGGGTACGGGTACCCGTTTGCGACCCTGGTGCGGCCGGGTACGGGTACGGGTAGGCCGTGAATCACTGGTGAGTCACCGTTTGTCACTCATTTCGGGTAGGGTACGGGTAGGGAACGGGTACCCGTACCCGGCCGGGTACGGGTACCCATTTGCGACCCTGGTGCGGCCGGGTACGGGTAAGGAATCAAAACCCGTTTGCGACCTCTGATATCGTCCCACGTCCGACCGCATAGCCGCATGTGGATTGAATTCAAACCGCATAACACGGCGGAGTTTGGGTTGAAACAAGTTTGCCGCATACGACGCGAAATCGCGCAAAACGAAACCCGCGCAGAGCGAGGGAGACCTGGAGAGTGAAATGGGCGGTCTCAAACCCCAGCATTACATCCTAGCATGGCCTCTTGCCCCCTGACATGCCTTGCCATATCAAGGGCAACACATAAATTGTCCATAATCAACGTTTTTGGGTTTAGATCGCGTTATTTATAAATGTGTCGTAACCCTCCACCACCCGACAGGGCCAATCAGTAAAAAAGTGTCACGTTGACAAAAGACAAATTGTAAATGTTGTGGTTCCACGCTTCAACACACCGGTGGGCTAAAGCAGTGAACTATTTGTCTTTTGTCAACGTGACACTTTTTTACTGATTGGAAGTGTCGGGTGGTGGAGGGTTACGACACATTTATAAATAACGCGATCTAAACCCAAAAACATTGATTATGAATAATATTGGTCGCGAAAGCCTGCTACGTGTTAAACTGACATAAATTGTCCCCTTCAACCAGAAACAACACCACGTACGGCATGCACAATCCACAACTGTTGCTCCGACAGATCGCCCGGCGAAAGGAAACGTGCGGATGCGATGGAGCCAGTCCCTTCCTGCCCGCTCTCTGAGCCGTTCGTTCTAAGTCAAAATAACCGATTGTAGGCACCATTGTGGTGAACGCAAGCGGAGCCAAAAATACGCAGACTGCAACGCCTCTTTCCCAATATCGAGACTCGGGTCGACGGTCTATTTCTGCTTGTTCATGAACCACTGCCGCTGAAATGATGTGCTCGCAGAAGGCAGGGGGCGTGCGACTGATGTGATGTGTAAAGTAATAACGATGATTCATGTACGTAAAGAGGCAGATACGTAAATGTCGTGGCTTGGCTCTCCAACACACCGGTGATGCTGTACTAGTATACTACACAATACACTACTATACACTACTATACACTACACTATACACTATTATACACTACGCTATACACTACACTATACATTACACTACTATACACTACACTACTATACAATACACTACACTACTATACACTACACTACTATACACTACACTATACACTACACTACTATACACTACTATACACTACACCAGGGGCGGTTTCTTCATTAGGGCGATTGGGCGACGCACCACCAATGTCATTGAACCACAGAGTCACGCTAGCCGTCACTGCAGCCTCTGGATATAGTCCAATCAGCGTCATGTCGCGTTCTGTGGAGTACCGCCTCTTTTTGGGCGATTTCACTCCGGCTGAGAATCGCCCCGAGTGGCCCCATAGACTTACATTCAAAGATGTTTTTTTTCGACCGGGGGGCGCTCCAATGCATTCTCTATGGCTTCCGGGAGGGCTCGCCCTAACGTGCTTACGTCATCATACGTGCTTACGTCATCATACGTAAGCACGTTTCATCCAACAATATAATTTGTGGCCACCTAGTGGAATCTTTAATAAAATAAACTTGAGTGGTTTGTTTTAATAGTGAGTATAGAAACAAACAAGATGTATTGTAAGAGTCACTTTAATTTTCATTAATATTAAAGAAGTGAAGTTGCCTTTACATGCTTAAGCTGTTAATTTATCCATTGCATGGGTGGACCTTATCCTTATCAATCATCCAGACATTTGCCCCCCGTGAGAGATTTTGCAGGAGCCGCGATTGCACTACACTACACACTAGTGCTGTACTAGTGACGAATTGGCCACGTTCTGTTTGCGTGACAACCCTTACTAGCTGGCTGTGTCGGGTGGTGGCGAGTTTAACGACACATTTATACATTTACGCGATATAACCCAAAAAAAAAACCTCTATGATGGAAGGCAAATTTGTCTCTTTGAAATGTGCTGGGGGGAGACAAAGGCGACTGGGCACGGTGTCGACACCCCAGCCAGCCCACGCGTGCCACCCATCGCAGCTGCCAAACAGCACTTGCCTCGACAGCCTGTCGAGGCTACACTGGAGAGGGGGGGGGGGAGATAATCTTTGTCTTTGTGTGTACCAACAGCGCTCACGCCGTGCGCCGTGATGGGGGTGGTGCATGCCGAGTCGCCGCGCGGTCGCTACCGCCTCTCGCTCGAGGACTCGTGGGCGCTGTGCCGCGCCGCGGGCACACAACTCGCCACCCTGGAGCAGCTGCGAGACGCGAACGCGCACGGATTTCAGGTGTGCAGGTCCGTGGCTCGCCCTTGAGTGTGTGTGTGCGTGTGTGCACGTGTGTGTGAGCGTGTGCGCGTGTGCACGTGTGTGCGCGTGTGTGTGTGTGCACGTGTGTGTTTGTGCACGTGTGTGTGTGTGCGTGTGTTTGTGTGTGAGCGTGTGTGTGTGTGCACGTGTGTGAGCGTGTGTGTGTGCGTGTGTGTGTGTGTGTGCGTGTGTGTGTGTGCGTGTGTGCACGTGTGTGTGAGCGTGTGCGCGTGTGTGTGTGCACGTGTGTGTGTGTGCGTGTGTGTGTGTTTGTGTGTGAGCGTGTGTGTGTGTGCACGTGTGTGAGCGTGTGTGCGTGTGTGTGTGCGCGCGTGTGTGTGCACGTGTGTGTGTGTGTGCGTGTGTGTGTGCGCGTGTGTGCGCGTGTGCGTGCGCGCGTGTGCGTGTGTCTAAAGCACAGCAAGTTGGCACAGTAGGGGGCACAGGTGGTGCATCAGCCATACATCTCGGTCATCTCAGTCAGTCGACCCGTGGCACCTGCTGGGTCTGTCCCGTGACCTCCTGCCAGCGGGCGTTCGACAGTTCATGTGGCCTCAAGGTGCACATAGCCTGGCACAAGCGTCGTGGTGACGTCACCGCCACTTAGTGGCGAATGGCGGTTGATGTTGTGTGTGCGTGCATACGTGCGTTGACCCTGGCGACAATGGTTCCATTTCCCGCTCACGGCCAACACCAGTGACGATGATCTGAACCGGTCCCTAGGTCGACTCCGCCTCAAACGAGTACCTGGTGCGATGTGTAGTAAACATCGCCACGAGGGAGACAAAGGCGGCTGGGCGTGGTGTTTGGCCACCCATTCCCTCGTGTGCTGTGACGCCCTTCATAGGTAGGTGCTCGCTAACAGCACTTGCCCCAACAGTTTGTTCAGACTACATGGGGGGATCTTTGTCTTTGTGTACGGTGCTCTGCGACACCCCAACTGAAAGCAGTGCAATTCTTATCAATAACACATCATTAGCACTAATCATTCTTATTATTTTATTTCATAAAAAAATTCAACTGATTAGCATGATGTGTGATCATATGGTGTCCATGTCTACGCTACAAAACCTTGCACTGGCTTGCACATCAAGTCAAGGATCGAGCGCAAGATTGCTATCCTTTGACACCTCTCTGTCTCTCCACAATCTCCCGGTCATAGCTCTCCACCCTTCTCACTCCACGCTGCCCGCGGTAAACCGCTCCACCCTACGGCGTTCATCATCGCACGATGTGCTGCTCATCGCACGATCTGCTGATAAACGCACCCACAGCCAAGCAGCTTCCGTCCTGGCTGTTGCTGCCATGACTGGCAGCAGCCGTCTGGAACTTTCTCTCTCTCACACACACTGCTGCACGCAAAAAAGACAAAGATCCCCCGTATAGCCTTAATAGACTGTAGGGGCAAGTGCTGTTAGCGAGCACCTATGAAGGCCGGAACAGTACACGAGGGGGTGGGTGGCCAGCACCACGCCCGACCGCCTTTGTCTCCCCAGTGGCGATGTTTACACACCACACCAGGTACTCATTTGAGCCTGAGTCAACCTAGGTGAGGCCCAGGACCGGTTCAGATATTCGTCACTGGTGTTGGCCGTGAGCGGGAATCGAACCCGGGTCGACGGGTTCATAGCGCAGCGTAGCGCTAACCGCTACAATACCGCTCCCCACACACTGCTGCACACACACGCAGCAACAGCAGCAGCAGCAGTGTCCAGCCACCATCATCCACCTTCAGGCCCTCACCTGGTTCAGGCCCTCACCTGTCCAGGCCCTCACCTGGTCTAGGCTCTCACCTGGTCCAAGCTGTCACCTGGTCCAGGCTCTCATCTGGTTCAGTCTCTCTCCTGTTCAGGTTCTCACCTGGTATTAGTCTCTCACCTGTCCAGGCTTTGACCTGTTCAGGTTCCCACCTGTTCAGGCTTTCACCTGTTCAGGCTATCACCCATGCAGGCCAGTATGAGAGAAACGTTAAGCTCTGGCTCCACGCCTCTGAGTTTTTCGATGGAACAACGCATCCAATTGTTATGACGTGTATTGCTCTGGTTGTTGTTGTTGTTGTGGCTCTGTTGTATGTACCGGGTGCGGGCTGCAGGAGCGGCTGGGTGCAGGGCGGTGTGAGCGCCGTGCCGCGCGTGCGCCCGCTGCCCCAGTGTGCCCACAACCTCACGGGTGTCGTGCTCGACCCCATCTCCACGGCGCGCCTCGATGCGTTCTGCTACAACGCTTCAGGTGCCCCCTCCTCCCCTACCACCACCGTCACAACCACCACCAGCACCGCCACCATCACCACCACCGTCACAACCACCACCAGCACCGCCACCATCACCACCACCGTCACAACCACCACCAGCACCGCCACCACCACCACCACCGTCACAACCACCACCAGCACCGCCACCATCACCACCACCGTCACAACCACCACCAGCACCGCCACCATCACCACCACCGTCACAACCACCACCAGCACCGCCACCATCACCACCACCGTCACAACCACCACCAGCACCGCCACCATCACCACCACCGTCACAACCACCACCAGCACCGCCACCATCACCAGCACCACCACCATCACCAGCACCACCACCAGCACCGCCACCGTCACCAGCACCACCACCGTCCACCAACACCAGCATAACCACCGCCGCCACCACCACCACGACCACCATCGGCACCACCACCGCGACCATTGCCACCACCGACACCACCACCACAACCACCACCACCACAACCACCACCACCACAACCACCACTAATTCGGAGGGTTTCTTGCCCTTCGCCCCCACTGATTTCATCTTCTGTTCTGCCCCCCCCCCCCCCCAATGTGTGCAGACACTACTGACTCTATTGTATGTAGGGTGTGTAGGTATATATACCTACAAAAGAAATGTCTTTGTTGGGGGTGGGGGAGTGACATTTATTTCGAATATTGTTAAATCAACTTTTTACCCCTACATCTGGGAGGGGGGGGGGTGTTTCATGCCTTCTGAAAGGCATTTATCATTTAGTTGATGGAATGCCGGGCTTTTATGATAGAGATAATAGATTCAAAATACATTATTTTTTTTCATCACGCTTGCACGGCACAGCCGTGCCCAATACCCAAAATGCCAAGCGGCCAGCAGTAAACAGCACTTATTTGCTGGATGTCCTTACGCCAGCAGTGGCATGAGCAGAAAGCAATATCAGAGCTGCGCCTTTAGCCCCTCGAGGGCAAATTTTCTTTCAAATGTGACACAGATAACTAATAGTCTTTGGTTCTTTCGGTAAAGTCACGTGGGTATAAAATAAAATGAATTAAATCACGACGTTTCGGGCGCAACACAAGCGCGTGTGTTTCCCTGCAGTCACGAAAACTTCAAATCTAGAGAACTAATACTTTCTTAAACCAAAAATGTTAAGAAGAATCGGCTTAACGCTTTCTGGCGATAAACACATGCGTTATAAGATTTCAACCATCAAATAGATACATGTTTCAGAGATTGACTTGGATGTTAATCGAATATTGGGAGAAAGGTCCCGTAGATATCACTGCTCAAACCTACCGATTAATACTTTGCATTGCCTTTGTGCTGTTCGTCTTTTGGCGTTCTCTGGTGTGACACTGGTGAGACTAGGCCATAAAGAAGGCTGTCTCTGGTGTGGGCCAATCAGTTACGAAGACAATGCATATATTATCAGGTCATGTGTGTCTGCATGTATGTACGTGTGGTTAATTCAGACTTAATGCTTTGAAATAGGTATCTTTCGATTTAAAGCTTTCGTGACTGCAGGGATTCATCTTCTTGGTTCTTTCGGTAAAGTCACGTAGAAGGGAAATAATAAAATAATACAAAATAAAACATAAAATAATTCTCACGACGTTTCGGCCACAACGCAAGCAGCCGTCCTCAGGTGAAGAACAGGTCTGTCGGAGAGACAGCGTCTGAATGGGCACCACCAGGCTTGGCAGCGTATATTTAAGCTGCTGGGTTATCATCGTTTCTAGGTATCTGTTTGGTGTTTAAACATATGTTGTTGGATTGCCAGAAAGGGTAAAACCTATTCTTATTTTGATACTGGCAAAAGGGTCTAATGGATGCTCACATTTAGTTGTGACGTTCAAAGGACCAGTGACTTTGTTAAGTATTTCGCTTTATAACATTACACAGCACAGTGCTGTTTATGATTATCATGTTGTCTGGAATTGAAGTGGAACGGGTGCTGCAGCGCTGCCCTGTCGCGGTGTGAAGGCGTCGGTGACCCCGTGTGACCTTGTTAGGGGTTTCCGTGGCAACGGTGCATAAACAGACGCGACACACCTCACTTGCACATCCTGGAAATTTTTTTTGGGTAAAAAATGAATGAAAAGCCGGCCGGTGAACATCGAGCGAAGGGCAAAGCAGCTCATGCAAATCACAGCCTAGGGGTGGGGGGCGGAGCTCAAGATCGTGAGATACGAGTTTGAATCCTGATCAGTGTTGTTGACTCAGCAACTTGAATGAACGAATAATTGTTATCATCGTCATCATCATCATCAATGGCGTCATCGCAATCATCAGCATCGACGTCATCATTGTTACCGTCAACATCATAATTGTCGTCATCACCATCAATTCATCATCATTGCTCACTGTCATCATCGTGATCATCACTATCATCATCATCATTGTCATTATCATTCTCGTTGTCATCATCGTCATCATCGTTTCTATCATCGTCATTGTCATAATAATCATTCTCCTCTGCTGCCCCGACAGACCTGTTCTTCACCTGAGGACGGCTGCTTGCATTGTGGCCGAAACGTCGTGAGAATTATTTTATTATGTTTTATTTTTATTATTTTATTATTTCCCTTCTACGTGACTTTACCGAAAGAACCGTCCATGATGTCCACTCCCAGCCCCCGTCCACGCCCAGCCTCGGAACTTATTTCTTCTTCTGCCTATGACCGACCGCTTCTCTCGACAAAATCAAGATGCGCACTGTTTCTGTGCAGTGTCCTGAGACGCATGTGCATCTAGACGCAGTGTAAAGCCACGTGGTGTACTATTTATTTTCTGTTGTCTCCGTATAACAAGAATAATAATAATTCAATCGTCACAAATCCCACCTTCGGTAATCTGGCCCAAATGTATGTAGAGCATATTCTTAGGTTTTTTCGGTAAAGTCACGTAGGTAAAAAAAATTTAATTTATAAAAGTAAAATAAAAATAAAATAAAATAAAAATCACGACGTTTCGGAGGCAACACAAGCTTCCGTCTTCAGGTGGAACCGTCACAGCACGATAGCTGTATGATCTGCATCCCTCTCACTTGATACAGCAATCGTGCTGTGATGGTTCCACCTGAAGACGGAAGCTTGTGTTGCCTCCGTAACGTCGTGATTTTTATTTTATTTTTATTTTACTTTTATTAATTTTAATTTTTTTACCTACGTGACTTTACCGAAAAAACCTAAGAATATGAATCCTTGCAGTCACGAAAGCTTCAAATCTAGAATGTATGTAGAGCTTCTTTCGCACCGTACGTAGCCAACCGTGATAAACGGACATGCGGGGGAAGGACAACAAACTAAACACAAAATAATTGTTATAAACCAACGAGTTTTAAATTGAGAAACGAGTTATCAATTTAGAGTAATTTGCAGCTCTTGCCAAAACCAGTTACGCTGCACGTTCACCCCTTGTTCTGCATGAGAACTCAATCGGAGGTGCGGGACTCCTCTGGCAACCATTCGCTCGAAAGGATGTGTGATCACGACGCTTCGTGCCTTTCGCAGAAACCCGGGTGAACTCCTGCGACCCTTCGTTGGGAACGCGATCTCCACCGCTGGTGAAGGGGACTTCGGCAAAACCCGGCACGGAGTCGACGGCGACGCCAGATCCTGGAGCGCGGACGACTGGCACGATCCCCATCGCCCACCGCTCTCCAATTGTCAACGGCCTCCCCACAAACTCACGAGCAGTGGCAGGTCAGTGGGCAGCGTCTGGAGGGTGGACATCTGTGAAAAATAGTTTGGTCGTTAATCGGATTCCTCCAGAATAAATATTCTGATTCTGATTCTGGAACACAGTCACTCGTGGCACAGGCTTTGAACCTCAGTGACGTGGCCAACGTATTTCTCTTTTAAAAACAAAAAATCACAATTATTGTCATCATGTACATTTGAATTTTTTTACTTTGGCAATGTACATAGCCAACCGTGCTAATTGGAGGTACAGGGAAAGGACAACAAACTAAACACAAAAATCAATTCTAAAGAATTGAGTCTTAAATCTGGATGATTTAAAAGTACCTCGTAAAGGTTTATTTGCTTCCTAGTTAATTTAGCTATGCATGTGATAAGACGCGGCTTATCACGTGGGATACATACTCTTAGGTTTTTTCGGTAAAGTCACATAGGTAAAAAATAAAATTAATAGAAGTAATAATAGAAATAAAATAATAAATCACGACATTTCGGAGGCAACACAAGTCTCCATCATCAGGTGGGACCGTCACAGCTAAATTTACTGCATCAAGTGAAAACAACCTAAGAGTATGAATCCTTGCAGTCACGAAAGCTTCAAATCTAGAATTATCACGTGGGAATTTATAGCAGCCAAATACCCTAAATGCGTGATGTTGATTCTAAACGTGGAGGGAAAAACTGGAGGACCTGGAGAAAAATCCACGCGACCACGGAGAGAGAGACATGCAAACTCCAAGTATGCAGGTGTCAGGATCGAACCCTCGACCTCCTGTATATCAGGCTATGCAGTTAACATCTCTCCACCGCGGCGCCCCCTTATAACATAGTTCACGTGTAAAATTCCAAGATAATTTCTTGCAATTTTGTTGCACAACACAGACGAGTGTCAGACCGGATGACGATAAACCTGGGCTGTTGAACTTGCAGCGCGCGTTTCCATCACCACGTTTTCCATTCTGAACTTGGCATGAAACTCAGCGTCTCTCCGGAATTCCAGGGAGGCAGCAAGGGCCCAAGACAGCATCCACTGCTCAGTAACACATCTGACTGGAGTTGACAGGCGGTGACGATGGTAATGTTATTGGAGTGCACGGGTGTGCCCAGTTCGTGTCAGTGAGGATTTCCATCCTGGGTAGCAGAGGCTTAAAACTGGACAGAGGAATGTGTGGTGCGATTATTATTTTTTGTTGTTCCGATATTTTACGACGGAAAGAGTTGGGCTTTGGAGGCGGCCGAAACGTATTTAATTGCACGTCAAATCAAATCACCGGTGCATTTTGAAATAACACCGTGCTCACAGGGCGAAGGCTACCGTGAAGGAAGGCGCTATTTGTTGTTGTTATTGCAACAATATGACAGGGCCCGGCAAAACAACAATCGGGAGATTCCAACAACAAGATACAACAGGAAATCCGCGAACATCCATTCCAGCACTGTGGAGCCACGCGGAAGTGGCGACACGAAGAGGAGTAGGGCCCCCCTCCCCCACTGCGGCCCCAATCAAGTGGGGGCCAAGCGCGGTGGGGGGGGCGGAGATGAAGATTTAAATGATGAGGGGAGATGGGGGGGGCAAGGCTACAGGACGGGGATCAGCAAGGGCGCTGTGTAGCGCATGCGAGCATAGTTCCGTGTGGGAGGGTGGGGGCGACGTTACCAAACACTCATTCTCATTAATCGCTTTGGCGATGTTGCTGCTCCTGCTGCTGCTGCGTTAGCAAGTGCTGCACAAGCGAAGTTATACGTAATAGAGCTTTTTTTGTGGGTTAGATCGCATACATTTAAATGTGCCGTTAAACCCGCCACCACCCGGCACAGCCAATTAGTAAGGTTTGTCACGTGAACAGAACGTGGCAATTCGTTACTAGTACAGCACGCCGGTGTGTTGGAGAGTAAACCCACAACATTTATAATTACTAGCACAGTTAACAGGAAATAAACTGCACACATAATCGTCAGCAACAGCGTGGCCTTAAAATGTATTTACAATCGGTGATGGCCCTTCTTCGTGGTGCATGAAAAAGGGCCATTGCCCAAAACGTCGCCGATTATAAATATTGTATTCTTGGTTCTTTCGGTAAAGTCACGTAGATGGGAAAAAAAGAATACTTTTTTTTCTTTTTTCCCTTCTACGTGACTTTACTGAAAGAACCAAGAATATGAATCCCTGCAGTCACGAAAGCTTTAAATCGAAATATAAATATTGTTTTAATTTTAAGGCATCGCTGTTGTTGTGTGAGTGTGTTGAGTTTGGTTCTCGCTGAGATGGAATCGGTCAAACACATCTGAAAACAAGACCCGCCTGAACAAAAAATTAATTGACTTGAAACTTAGCGAGGCTTTCCCTGGACAATGTAATTACTTCGCTTTATATTCACACGTATTTATTGAAACGATCTCTGTACAAGGTTCACTTTATGAACAACAACAACAAAAATGGCCATTGGCGAAGAAAATGCAAAGGCGGCCGGGCGTAGCGTTGGCCACACCTAAACCCCCGCACATCCGGTGAGCATGGTTGGCTATAGATTTGAAGCTTTCGTGACTGCAAGGATTCATATTCTTAGGTTTTTTCGGTAAAGTCACGTAGGTAAAAAATTAAAATTAAAATTAATAAAAGTAAAATAAAATTAAAATAAAATAAAAATCACGACGTTTCGGAGGCAACACAAGCTTCCGTCTTCAGGTGGAACCGTCACAGCACGCTGAAGACGGTTCCACCATGCGTACCATACCGAAGCCACAGCCGCGCTCTTTGGGTGTGGCGAGGCGATGACTCACCGGTGCGTGCCGTGCTGCAGGGTCACACAAAGCAGCAGGCGTCTCGATGCTCGATTTGAAGCTTTCGTGACTGCAAGGATTCATACTCTTAGTTCTTTCGGTAAAGTCACGTAGGTAAAAAATGAAATTAAAATTAATAAAAAATAAAAACAATAAAATCACGACGTTTCGGAGGCAACACAAGCCTCCGTCTTCAGGTGAAACTGTCACAGCAAAAAATCTATATCAAGTGCTCGGGACAAGCCGAGGGGAGCTCACGATCTTTAAAAACTAAAAACTCTCCAACACACCGGTGGGGCTGAAGTAGTAAACTTATTGGCGCTTTGTTTACGCGACAAACCCTACTGGCTGTGTCGGGTGGTGGAGGGTTTTGACACATTAATATCTTCTTGGTTCTTTCGGTAAAGTCACGTAGAAGGGAAGTAATAAAATAATAAAAATAAAACATAATAAAATTATTCTCACGACGTTTCGGCCACAACGCAAGCAGCTGAGGACGGCTGCTTGCGTTGTGGCCGAAACATCGTGAGAATTATTTTTATTATTTTATTACTTCCCTTCTACGTGACTTTACCGAAATAACCAAGAAGATGAATCCCTGTAGTCACGAAAGCTTTAAATCGAAAGACACATTAGTACTTACGCGATCTAACACAAACACCTTTATTATTAATAATATTGGTCGCGAAAGCCTACGTGTTAAACTAAAAACGAAAGTTTTGTTAGCCACTAGGTGAAGCCCCACTGAGCTATGGGAATTTTTTTTCAGAGGCGACCTGGCCACACGTGACGATAGGCAATTGAAGTGGCTCATAGCATCATCATCATCATAATAAAATGTTGGGATTTATAGCAGCAGCCATTTCATCTTAGCGCATGTTGTTTCTTAATGTGGAGGGGAGGAAAATTATGAGCAACCCGGAGAAAACTCAACGCGACCACCAACTACGTGGAGAGAGAGAGAGAACATTTGGGCTCCAAATATATGAGGGTCTGGGATCGAACCTCCGTTTTCCTGCGTACCAGGAGCCGCTGGGGCATTCGTTCGAATTTTTGTTTGTTTACAATTTGTAATGGGGGCGGTGGAAAGAGAATGATCTTTTCCGCATCTCCGATTAGCACGGTTGGCCACGTACGGTGCGAAAGAAGTTTGACGTACATACAATGCATCTTTGAACTTTTCATATTCTTAGGTTTTTTCGGTAAAGTCACGTAGGTAAAAAATTAAAATTAATAAAAGTAAAATAAAAATAAAATAAAATAAAAATCACGACGTTTCGGAGGCAACACAAGCTTCCGTCTTGATTTTTATTTTATTTTCATTTTACTTTTATTAATCAAAATTTTTTACCTACGTGACTTTACCGAAAAAACCTAAGAATATGAATCCTTGCAGTCACGAAAGCTTCAAATCTAGAATTTGAACTTTTAGTTTCTGTGTTTTCGGCATCGACTGCAGTCAAACGGCGAAAAAGACACGGGGAGAAACCTGACGCGGCTCGATAGTCACAAAACAATACGCCGTGGACTCATCGCGGCTAATTGCGGCTGCCTCTCGAGTTGCCGTGCGGAAACGGTGCACATGTTTATTTTATGGGCAGGCGGTCATCAGTCGTTGGCAGTGGAATAGAAGTAAGGTGCAGTGCCTGGACTGGAGCAGAGAGACAGGGGGAGTCAACTGCAGCACGGGTGGCCGAGGTGGCAGAGGAGAATGGACCAAAGGTTGTCGATTTAAAGCTTTCGTGACTGCAGGGATTAATCTTCTTGGTTCTTTCGGTAAAGTCACGTAGAAGGTAAATAATAAAAATAAAACATAAAAAATAATTCTCACGACGTTTCGGCCACAACGCAAGCAGCCGTCCTCAGGTCCTCAGGTGAGGACGGCTGCTTGCGTTGTAGCCGAAACGTCGTGAGAATTATTTTATTATATTGTATTTTTATTATTTTATTATTTCCCTTCTACGTGACTTTACTGAAAGAACCAAGAAGATGGACCAAAGGTTGTCGATGAGCGATGATGTGGCCGCAGCGGTAGCTTGTTTGCCGCTTGTTGCAGAGGTTCGTGGTTCGAATCCGCCAGGCCGCCCCGGTTATTACCGCCGTCGTATTAACCGCACAGATACACGCCATCTGCTTCCGCAATGTCATTTCAACGGAGTAGGCCATTTTGTGCCAGTGTCAAATTCCCAAAAAAATACAAATAAATACTTGCTTAACCCTTA